CTATACTATACTATACTATACTATACTATACTATACCATACCATACTATACTATACTATGCTATACTATACTATACTATACTATACTGTAATATACTATACTGTACTGACCGTCTGCAATTGTCCACTATGCTATGCTATACTATACTATACTATACTATACTATACTATCGATTCCTATTCTATACTCTACTCTACTACAGTATACTATACCATACCATACCATACTATACCATACTAGAGACGACAAAATCCGGCTGGATACTGGAAAGCAACGAGAGAGCATTGCAGACGCGCGCAGTTATTAGCCTTTCAGAGCAGGCAGGCAGCAAGAACGTGAATGTGCTAAGCAAGTTAAATCAACAATACATTTTTTTTAATCCTTTTTAAAAAAGGAAGTCGATAGATCAAACATCAAACGCTCACATGATGATCGCCGTTTTCAGAGAGCATAAAAAGGCGCTCACGTGATGACCGTCGTTTTCCAAGAGCATAAAAAAAGGGGCTGAAAGTACAAGCCAAGAAGGAGGCGAGAGCGTTTCAACATCGCAGAGTACTCCAGCCAGAACTGCATTCTGTTTCCGTTCCTTTCTTCCCCCCCCCTCCCCCCCCCTTTCTTCCTGTTAAAAGATAGGGACTACAGGGAATACAGTGGGCCTCGCTCCACTACACACCGAATGTGCAAAATAGGAATGAATCATCCGCTAGAACATGGAAAAAGAGGTACAACGCCATATTCTTTTTTGTCTTTTGTGCATGTGTGGTGAGTAGGGGAGCGAGGCCCAGTGAGTGATCTTCCCCCACTCCCCACCCCCACAAAAGGACAAACAAATAAAATGACATTCTGATCCCTCTCCCAACTCTTCCTTGTTCCTTCTGGTCTGGTTCCGTATCCTTCCTGCTACCTCGTGCGTGCAATTGCTGCCCCTCGTGACTGCATAGAGTTGTTGCCCTTGTTTGTGGGCTTATCTCCTGTCGTGTATGGAGGCAGCATCTGAAGGCCGTGATCTGTCTCTGTCGTCTCTCTCTCTCTCTCTCTCTCTCTCTCTCTCTCTCTCTCTCTCTCTCTCTCTCTCTCTCTCTCTCTTACACACAGCTCTGCTAGGATTGCAGGGATGAAGTCGACCACTTTTCTCTCTTAGGGGCATCGCTAACTCTTGGAGCTGTGCATAGCGAGCGTGGCAACGCACACACACACACACACACACACACACACACACACACACACACACACACACACACACACACAC